CTTTCTTTCTTTCTTTCTTTCTTTCTTTCTTTCTTTCTTTCTTTCTTTCTTTCTTTCTTTCTTTCTTTCTTAGTTTCCTTTCTTGTGCCAGACCTCAAACATAAGACCTTGTACTTGCCAGGGAGGCGTTGTGCTGCCCAGCTATGTCCCTGGCCCTCACATAATTTCTTATGTGTCTTTGGAGTCTATGCTGGAGAAAACAAACAACAAAGGAAAAATGTGGACATGAACATTATGAATTATTTTGGCGTTATCACTGTTGTGAATAGCATGGATAACCTGTATTATGCATGCATAGGTACATAAACTATTTGAAAGCAGACCCAGTGTCTGCTGAGATTGATCTGGTGACCAGAAATGGGAGGAGACCTGCATTCAGTATGGCTACTTGTCCTGTTTGAACTTTGTCCTGTGCATATTACTGGTTCTTGGTAAAAGCAAGTATGATTTTAAGGAGAAGAATAATTACATATAAAAGTTTCAGCCAAGTAAACAGGCATTACCACTTTTGTTTTCACTGACTCAGGGCTCCAACATTACTGACACCTGCACTGAAATGCTGATGTGTGGAGTTCTGCTGAAAATTTCTTCTGGAAATATTCAAGAACGGGTGTTTTTTCTTTTTGATAATCTTTTGGTGTACTGCAAAAGAAAACACAGGTAAGATCATAAAGGACATTTTGGAAATGTTTTATGCATCTCACATTTTCTTCTGTACTTCCTAGAAGCCAGCATCTGCCCAGTAACCTGTTTCAGATCTAGCCTGTTCCCACTGCCCCTTGCATCTTCCTGTCAGACAGCACTTCATCTCAAGATGCTGCCTTTTCAAGTTCCCACAAGGAGTGTAGTGTACCCCAGGGCCTAGAAGAGAGGCTAGAGAGTCTTCCCTCATCCCTAGTCCCCAGTCCCAGCCACTTCCCCCTCTTCCCTCCAGACTCCTGGCACATGTAGTGTTTCTGCCTTTTGTCTCTCCTATCTACCTACTTTCTCGGTTGACTCCATTTTAAGGAGAATTTAATATCCCCCTGCTGTACACAAATTCATTGACTGTTGTAGCTCTTGGGTCACTATCTTTCCACTTTACTCTTGTAAAGTTTCCTTCAAAACTCACATTTATCCAGAGACTGTGACAATCCCAATCTTTTATCTGTAATGGTCCTTGCCTCTGTTACACCTGAATCATTGGTTCTATGGTTGTACCATTGGCTCATCATATCAGCCTCATGCAATTGTAGTTTCCATTTTGAGCATCCCATTCTGCACATCATCCCCATACCCTGGCCCTCCTTCTTTGGAATTCCCATGTAAGTTACTTTGTGACAGGGTCTGTCTCCATGGCGCTGAACATTGTCAGAAGCTTCCTGTTCTAAAGAGACATCTCTAGTGTGATTGCCTCCCATCTGTCTGCTCTCTTACATGGTAAACTTTCTGGAAAGAGTTTTTTTTTTTTAACTTTCTGAACTTATTTTTCCTCTCAGGAACCTTCAGTGTATCTTTAGTCCACTCTACTCACCTGAACTGCTCATGTCAAAGGAACTGCTCTGTTTCCTAGCCCAAGTCACTTTTCCTACTCTTGAAGAGTCTGCTTATTTTCCTAGCAGCATCTAACATATTTGACTACTTCTTAAGACATGAACTGCAGCTGGGGTATGTCTGTTTTAGTGTGATGGCACCAATAGGCTTCATTTCATTGACAGGGAAGGCAAATGGTTGAAAGTGCAGAATTTTGAGTGATTGTCTATGCTAAATTCAGAAGTCAGGAAACTATAACTGAACATTTTCTTGTGGATCAAGAATGAGAGACACAAAACTGATTTATTAAGAAAAATGAGGGAACATAATTTTTTATGCCTTGAGATAAGTTTTCCTAAATCAGCAAAATGCCCAGAGCAAGTTGGTGAAAATTTGGCCGCTATATTAATGATACGTGATAATTCATTCATATAGATTACAATGTTAGAATTTCATGGAAAGAGATACTAATTAAAAAATGCAATGACATGAAATGAGAAAGCAGGACTACAGTGTGTACCTTCAAGAAAAGGAGGAACAAGTTAGCAGCAGAACCAAAAGATATAAAGGCTGATAAGAAATACAAGGAATGTCAAAATTAAAAAACCCTAAAAATCTTTATTAAAGTAAGAGGCATAGTGCTAAAAATGTGTCCCAGCAAGAGGAAATATTTTGAAGGGGAGTAATGACAATGTACCTTTCACTATAATAAATTTTTACAATTTAAACATTCACCATGGGGCTGGTGAAATGGCTCAGTGGTCTAAAGCACCT